TTCATAGGTGTCCAAGTTACCTAGTCCTGTGGCTAGTCTTCATAGGTGTCCAAGTTTGCTTCTTTTATGAATGACATATTATGAACACAATGATATTTGTGAAAGCAAAGTTAGTTTAATTTATTTATAATAATGGTATTTTTCAATTCTTATCCTAGTTTGTTTTGTTCTTTATTATTTGTGAATGTCTTTATTGGATTTTTCTTTATTATGTATGTACCAAATAAAATACTTAATTTTCTCTATTTCTACTTCCTTTGTAGGACTCTGCATTATAAGAATCGATACGTGAAAATACCAGAAGGTCATTGCTGGGTGGAAGGAGATCATCATGCGGTCAGCATGGATAGTAACACATTCGGGCCGGTATGTGAATGATTATTGCTTCTAAAAATTACCATGAATTCTTAAAATTCCATTGAATGACATTCATTGTCATTGTAGATCTGGTATCAGGATGTCCTTATTAGTCCCCGTTCGGACAAAGTCTGAAAACGGGGACTTATAATTCGGTCTCCGTCTGTGCGTCTGTCCGGAGTCATATCTCAGAATCCCTTGGACTGATTCCGTTCATTCTTTGCCTGTGCCTAGTACCTTATTTGGGAGATATGCACATTCAGTGGTTTAGCGATTCGATTCAAAATGGCCGACTGGCAGCCATCTTGTTTTTTGAAAATGTATTTGGACATGCTTTGTCAGTTTTCGTTCGAACTTGGTACATAGATTATACATGTTAGGATACATGTCTATGACGATTTATTTCGCAATTGGATCAAAGATGGTCGAGTGGCAGGCATCTTGTTTTGTTTTTTATGCCGTATCTTGGACGTGCTCTGTCAATTTTCATTCAAATTTGGCACATACATGTACATGTACTTTCTACATGTTAGGATGCATGTCCATGGCAATTTGTTTCAAAATCTGGTCAAGGATGGCCGATTGACAGCCAGCTGACTTTTTGGCCTTACTACTATATTTCCACAATTTATGTACCATTTTCATTCGTATTTGGCACATACATCATACATATCAGTGTGTTTCATAATCAGATCAAAGATGGCTGAATAACAGCTCTTTTTATTTTTGGCCATATTACTACTACATGGAACGCGTGTTTTGATGTAAATAAACAATCTGTTGTATACGCCACTTGGAACTCAAGTTTCAAGGACACGCTCGCGACGACCCCTCTGCTTTAATATGACAAGCACAGAGAACTTTCAAAAATTTAACGGGGACTGTGTCATTTTCAATGACTTGTAATCAATCTGTGATACTCTGGATATGTTTGGTGCCCAATGTGTGCTTTTAGAGAGACCACTGATGACTGCACATTGATTCCTCTATGTAAATTTGCCACTGAATTGCTCTATCTGCAATGGTGCTCCAAATATGATCTTGGATGGATTTTCAAAATTGTTACATATTAATAGTTGTTTTATCCAGTATAAAATATTTTTTGGGATAAAATGGGGCTGAAATAATTTATTTTAAAGCATATTTTTTCAACAAATAATTACTGTGGTTATATGTCAGAAAATTCATTATAATTTGGGACAACCACCAGTACTCATCTCATGACTGCATATGATTTGTTTTACCATTTGTACCCAAACAAAATTTTCACCATGGAAACCAATGGAAACCAATGGAAATCACTCAAATTTTTTTATTTTCATTGGTGTTGAACACATTTTTTGTGTGAAAAATAGTGCGGTGAGGAATAACATAATGGCATAAACTAAATCCATATGGTAAAAGTCAAAGAAATCTGGTGATAAGTTTTAATAGCAGCAAACTACCTTTTAGTGCAAAACAAAAGTTTAC